TCATGAGGGAAATTGGTCTATAGTTCTCTTTCTTAGTTGTGTCTTTGTGTGGCTTGGGTATCAAGGTAATTGTAGCCTCGTAGAAAGAGTTTGGCAGTGAGCCTCCTGCTTCTATTGTGTGGAATACTTTGACGAGTATTGGAATGAGCTCTTCTTTGAATTTCTGGTAGAATTCTGCACTGAAGCCATCTGGGCCTGGGCTTTTTTTGTTTGGGAGACTTTTGATGACTGCTTCTATTTCATTAGGGGTTATAGGTCTGTTTAGATTATTTATCTGTTCTTGATTTAGTTTTGGCAAGTGATATCTATCCAGGAAATTGTCCATTTCCTTTAAATTTTCAAATTTTGTGGAGTACAGATTTTCAAAGTATGCCCTGATGATTCTCTTGATTTCCTCAGAGTCCGTTGTTATGTCCCCTTTTTCATCCCTGATTTTGTTAATTAGCATGTTCTCTCTCTGTCTTTTGGTTAGTTTGGACAGAGGTTTGTCTATTTTGTTGATTTTCTCAAAGAACCAACTCTTTGTTTCATTGATTCTTCTCAGTGTTTTCCTGGTTTCTACTTGATTGATTTCAGCCCTCAATTTGATTATTTCCTGGCGTCTGCTCCTCCTGGGGGAGTTTGCTTCTTTTTGTTCTAGAACATTCAGCTGTGCTATTAATTCTCTAGTATGACTGTTCTCCAGTTTTTTCATGTGGGCACTTAGTGCTATAAACTTTCCTCTCAGCACTGCTTTCAAAGTGTCCCATAAGTTTGTGTATGTTGTGTCTTCATTCTCATTGAAATCGAGGAAGTCTTTAATTTCTTTTTTTATTTGTTCCTTTACCCAGGGATGGTGCAATTGTGCATTGTTCAATCTCCATGAGTTTGTAGGGTTTCTGCGATTTGTGTTATTGTTGAATTCTAATGTTAATGCATGGTGGTCTGATAAGATGCAGGGAGTTATTCCAATTTTTTTGTATCTGTGGAGATTTGCTATGTTTCCTATTATGTGGTCAATTTTAGAGAAGGTTCCATGTGGTGCCGAGAAGAAGGTATATCCCTTTGTATTTGGATGGAATGTTCTATAGATGTCTGTTAAACCCAGTTGGGTCATAACTTCTATTAATTCTTTTGTTTCTTTGTTAAGTTTCTGTCTGGAGGTCCTGTCTAGCGGTGAGAGCGGAGTGTTGAAGTCTGCTACTATTAGTGTGTGAGATTTTATGTGCATTTTGAGCTTTAGTAATGTTTCTTTCACGAATGTAGGTGCCTTTGTATTTGGGGCGTAGATGTTTAAAATCGAGACTTCGTCTTGATGTATTTTTCCTTTGATGAATATGAAGTGCCCTTCTTCATCTCTTTTGATTGATTTTAATTTGAAGTCTAATTTGTTAGATATTAGGATTGCTACGCCCGCTTGTTTCTTGGGGCCGTTTGATTGGAAGATCTTTTCCCAGCCCTTTACTCTGAGATAACGTCTGTCTTTGTTGTTGAGATGTGTTTCTTGTATGCAGCAGAAGGAAGGGTTCTGTCTTCGTATCCATTCTGCTAGTCTGTGTCTTTTTATAGGCAAGTTGAGGCCGTTGACATTGAGGGATATTAATGACCATTGATTGGTGATCCTTGTTTGCGCTTGATTTATTGTTAGTGAAGTTATTTTGTGTTGTTTCTCCTCCCTTTTTCTTTTAGTGTTTTGTAAAGTATGATTACTATATTGCCTGTGTCTTTGTGAATGTAGTTATCTTCCTTGGCTCTAGGTTTTCCTTCTAGCATTTTCTGTAGAGCTGGATTCATGGATACGTATTGTTTAAATCTGGCTTTGTCATGGAATATTTTGTTTTCTCCATCTATGGTAATTGAGAGCTTTGCTGGATATAGTAGTCTGGGCTGGCATCCTTGTTCCCTTAGCGTTTGTAGGACATCTGACCAGGATCTTCTGGCTTTCATCGTTTCCATTGAGAAGTCAGGTGTAATTCGGATAGGTCTGCCTTTGTATGTTACTTGGCCTTTTTCTTTAGCTGCTCTTAATATTTTCTCTTTGCTCTGTAGGTTTGATGTTTTGATTATTATATGGCGAGGTGACTTCTTTTTCTGGTCAAGCCTATTTGGTGTTCTGTAAGATTCTTGTACTTTCATAGGCATATCTTTCTTTAGGTTAGGGAAGTTTTCTTCTATGATTTTGTTGAATATGTTTTCTGTACCTTTAAGTTGAAGTTCTTCACCTTCTTCTATACCTATTATTCTCAGGTTTGGCTTCTTCATGGTGTCCCATATTTCCTGGATATTTTGTGTTAAGGATTTGTTGGTTTTGAGATTTTCTTTGGTTGACGACTCTATATCCTCTAATGAGTCTTCAACACCTGAGATTCTCTCTTCTATCTCTTGTATTCTATTGGTGATACTTGCATCTGTAGTTCCAGACCGTTTACCGAGCTTTTCTATTTCCAGCATCCCTTCATTCTGTGTTTTCTTTATCGTTTCTATTTCAGCTTTCAATCCTTCAACTGTTTGAGCTGTTTCCTTAATTTTCTTGGTTGTTTTTTCTTGGTGCTCTTTAGATTCTTTGAGAGATTTGTTTATTTCTTGAATTTTTCCCCCATTTCATGGATTTTTTTGTTTGTTTTTTCTTCTATTTCTTTAAGGGATTTCCTCGTTTCTTCTTTGAGGCTCTCCATCATCTTCATGAAATAATTTTTAAGGTCTGTCTCCTCTTCTTCATCTATGTAGTGCTTTTCGGGACTTGCTGGTGTTGGATCCCTGGATTCTGGTGGGGTCATGTTGGTGTTTCTATTGCTGAGTGATCTCTTATTCTGTCTTCTTCCCATCTCTTCTTCCAGTGGGTGCTGGTGGGGTCTTTCCGTCTCCACTGGTCTCCTTCCTTACTGCGGGCTGAAGCTGGGCTCCCTGGAGTTGGGGTCTTGGAGGGCTGATCTCTTTCCTGAAGCTGGGCTCGCTGGGTTGGGGTCTTGGAGGGGCTGATCTCTTTCCTGTGTGGGTGGGTCTTCTGGATGCCGGGAGTAGCCCAGAAGATCGCGGGGGGATGGGTGATGGGCGGGCGGTCCCCGCTGGAGACCCAATCTCACCTGAAGCTGGGCTCTCTGGGTTGGAGTCTTGGAGGGGCTGATCTCTTTCCTGTGTGGGCGGCTCTTCTGGATGCCGGGAGCAGCCCAGAAGATCGTGGGGGGATGGGTGATGGGCAGGTGGTCCCCGCTGGAGACCCAATCTCACCTGAAGCTGGGCTCCCTGGGGTTGGGGTCTTGGAGGGGCTGATCTCTTTCCTGTGTGGGCGGCTCTTCTGGCAGCCGGGGGCGGCCCCGAAGATGGAGGGGGATGGGTGATGGGCGGGCGGTCCCAGCCGGAGACCCAATCTCACCTGAAGCTGGGCTCGCTGGGTTGGGGTCTTGGAGGGGCTGATCTCTTTTCCTCGAGCTTGTCACACTTTAACTCTGCTTCAACTCTACTGCCATTCCAGACTGAGGCTCTGCAGTTATCCCTACACATACAATTTTATTTTGTGTATATACAAATATACACATCAAATCTGACACAAAAGGTGGCATGTATAACACCCTGTCCCTGTCAAAACATAACCATACTAGTACATAGGACAATCTCTATACATTGGTTATTGCCTTTATCTTTGAATTCGTAATGTTTGAGAAAGCAGAGTATGCTTTGCATGGGGTGGGGTTGAAATGCGGTAAAGAAGGAAAATGCTTCATTCAGTCTCAGAGGCTCTCGTAAATAGGTCAACACTGGAAGACAACTTAAGAGATCTGAAAGAAGCAACATGGACATGCAGAGGTCACTCCCTTTGTGTCATGCCAGTCAGAATAGCTGAACAGACCTGAGGGAATTATACTGAGGGGTCTTGAGAATGCTCAAAGATAGGGTTGGAGGGGGGACAGTTTTCGTTGACTTTATCAGTGAGGAATTCTAGAGACTGGGAATCAGCTCTGTGCAAATGAGCAAGCATTATTTTGAGGCTTGACAGGGGAATAAATGTTCTATACATAGAGAAAGGCAAGCTTTATTTATTCATTTGTTTATTCATTTATTTATTTATTTACTCATTTAGTCTCTGAACCAGAGCATGGTTCTTTATGTCAAATGAGATCATGTGGTGGCCACTTGGGTCCCAGTATGAAGTCACCAAGATCAACTTGTGAGAATAAGGTTTGTCCTTTTTGAACAACATTTACTCTGTGATGTGATGGACCAATGGGAGACAGTTCTCTCCATTTCATTTCACAGTTATTTTATGTCACCCTTTTCTGTAGATCAGCACTCCCCTGTCCTTAATTCTCGCTGTCTCTTTCTGTCAACATTTCCTCCATTCCCTGGGAAAACGAATGCTCTCTGGAGGACCCATGCTTCTGTAGATTTCATTTGTGCAGTAATTCATTCAGCTAATCAATTTTGTGTGTGCATACCACATATGTGTGAGCATGGGCACACACACTCCCTGACACATGTGTGTGTGGGGAGGGGGAAGGTCAGGGAACAACTTTTGTTAGTCAGTTCTCTCTTTGATCTTATTTAGAAATCTTTTTGTATAAGCTGCTGCTGAACAGTGTTCTCCAGTCTAGCTGTCTCCTAACCTTCTGAGCAAGCCTCCTAACTCTGCTTCTCGTCTCTCCAGGAAAGCTGGGATCATAGACACATGCCACTGCATTTACCTTATTATGTAGGCCAAAGACGGAACTTCAGCTCAGGTGACTAGCACTTTTCCCGAAGAAGCACTGTCTCCCAGCCCTGCAAGCTCCCTCTGCTAGGATGTCCATTGTTGCTTTCTCCCTCTGTTGGAGATTCGCTTCAACCTTGCTCAGTTCCTCTCCTCAAGATAGGAAGCTCTTGCTCTCTGGTTTATTCAAGGCTAGCACAGGAGAACATGGAAGAAAAACCAGTCCCTTTTCTGCTAGCTCACACAAGTGAACACACGAACGGATTAGAGCATTTTCATCTGTAAAACCCAACAGAAACCCAGAATTAATAAATAAAATCTCCCAGGACTGGGCATCCACTTTTGATGATTAATACTTTATTTGTCTGCTCCCCTTTAAAGAAAAGCTTCTGGAAAGAGAGACTGGGTGACTGCTGCCTCTCCTTCGTTTATTGTCAGGCTTTGCTCTGGACTGTCTTCTTCCGTGCTTGGGCGTTCATCCACAGGAATGCTTGTGCAAGAGGTTTTTACTTGTGAACTGAAGTTCCCTTAAAAAAAAAGCCACACTGTGTTGAAAACTCTGCAAAAAAAGAAAGTGACTGATTAGAACTTCCTGCTTGTGGAGAGTTGTTATTAAAATGAAAAATTACCCTGGACTGTCTTCAGTCTCTTTAATATCGATTTATCACCCACCTCTGTATTTGACGTAACATCTCTTTTGACTGCTAGGTAACCCTGTGGAATAAAGTCTTAGCATACCAATGACTTCTGAAAAGCCCAAAGCTGAGAATACCATGGACATTTGAAACACGGGAATGTGGTTTTTTCCCTCCCTGCCTTGTTATAACCTTCCTACAGGCTATGCTCACCACCATACATGGTAAACGTATTGAGTTATAGCTGTCATTTTTTTGTGTGTGACTATTCAAGTTTATATATAAAACTTTATTTCTATGGTGGAAGAAACCATTTTGGGGGTAACCTGAATCCCTCTTTACCAGAATGGTCACTCATATTTGGGTCAAAATTAACAATTAGTTCCTTTTGAATGAGAATTGTGTTTTGGTTAACACAGTCATTTGGGATGGAATCTAGGTCCCGTTATTTTATATATAATGCTGCCTAAGTGGCTATCATACTTTTAGAACTGGCACAAATGCCCCATGTAAATGTAAATTCCTGACAGAGGGCACTCAATCTACCCCAGTGCTGGGTATCTGTGAGAACCCATCTCCTGATCTAGGAGGCGTCTGTCCTCGGCATTTCTGTGAACAGAATATGGTGATTATTTTGAATTATCCTTTGTAAGAGTTACTGCAGAGTGTCTTAAATAGAAAGCTTGCTATGCATTTTAAAATAAGATTATGGTTTACAAAAAAGAAATGATTCATTCATGAGTTTTCCAAAACATAACCCTCATGTTAGGCTAGGTACATATTTACAGCTCTGTCTTCTGCTGATGCCTGAATGCCTTTATAAACAAATAATCATGGAGAATATGGGGCCTAAGAAAATCATTATAATAACATTATTTAGCTTTGTATACAGCACTTCTCAAGCTATTTTATATCTTTATAAGACAATGCTTGACATGTTGGGTGTTTAAATTGAAGCATTTGACTAGACTACTAAAAATTCATAGATACCTTTAGCTGAGGGTTCTTTAGCCTGTGTTCATGAAAACCTTTGAGGAGTTAAGAGTTGTATGCTGGAAGTGTATCTTTGGTGAGTGTTCTATTAGTCTCTGGGGCTGGCATAGTCTACAACACTCACAGCCCTACTACCTATTAGCTGTTTTCTTAAAATCATAGTCTACAACACTCACAGCCCTACCACCTATTAGCTGTTTTCTTAAAATAAGTCCTTCATACTTTCTCTATGTTGACTTACAATTATCCCTGACATTTATTTGTTCCTGTTTCTATTTTTGAGAGAGATCAAGATAACTCCAGTGCTCAGTAACAGAGTGGGAGACAGAGTTGACTTTTCAACCATTCATCGGAAACTTAGAAGATCAAGTCAGAAGTTGAGTAACCCGATCTCTACAGTCAATCACAGAAGTCAGAGGAGAGTGGGAACAAACTATGCTTATCAGCAGTCCTAGGATCTCCATGGAACTTTCACAGGAGTCATTAGCTGTCCCAGGCTTCAGTTACTTCAACTCTCAGAGTCTAACTTAGGTTACTCCAAAGTACTTAGGATTATATAAAGCTTTTATAGGCATACCTGGGAAAACAGTAATCTACCCTTTAGTAAGGATTTTATTTTTTTAATAAAAAATGGGAGTGATGTTATATTAGCTATAAATAATCTCCGTTTTAGTGAGTGCGAAAATAGATTAATTTAGTAATTTTTCTCTATGAAAATTATTAGAGGAATTAGATGTGTCTTTGAGCACAAATACAAGAGCCAGAAGAAAAGTAAATGTGATTTCAGTTTCATTCATCTGCTTTCAAAGACTGAGACAAACTTGGACCTGTTCCAAAAGACCAAAATAAACAGAGAGGAAATGTTGGAAGGTTGAATCAGAGCCAGGATAAACTAGGATTTCCAGTGTTTAGAATGGATATTGCAAATGGATCCAAAACATGGTTCAAGGGCATACATTTAATTCTGGAAACCAGGCCAAGTTGCTTCAATTAGTACTTTTCAAAATTAGGAAATTAATTTGTATCAATATTAATCTGTATGGGAGACTATCAATGATATATAAAAGGGCACTTTGACTATTAATGTATTTTCCCCCTATAGTGTCATTACCTTAGGTCAATTAACTCTATGTACTTTTTGACATATTAATAAGTAGGCTGTGTTTGAGACAACTCTCTTATTGCTTCTGTTGAGTTTGTCTTTGATTGTAAATGAAATTTACAAACTCTGTTTTTTAGAGAATTTAGGAGATACCACACATGTTGTAGCATAGGCTATATATGTATATATACATATGCATGTCAAATTAAAGCTAATGATTATATGGGGTCAACATACCATTAACCCATGCCTTGATGTATGATGTTTAATTAGATCAATACAAAAACAAAGAACAAAGAAGAGTGCTGATATTGGCTGTGCTATCTATCACAGAGTTCTGAAAAGGCTGCCCTTGTTCTAATAATGAAGACTGACCCTAATTATTCAGGTTAGTATCATTACTAGCTTCTGCTTAGACTGACTTAGAGTCATTCCACATTAAGGAAATCATGTATTCTGGCTTGTAAAATCTGGCAAAATGGCTAGTGATCACAGTACTCTGTAACAAAGAGAAGACATAATGAGATACTGTCCAGTTCAGAGAACTGCAGCTGAGCTGAGTGCCATGCTCAGTGACATCTTGGTGGGTTTGGTAATGACTCTGAAAAGAAATTAAACTTCTTTTATTCTTGAGTTTTAGAAAAAAATGACAGAATCGTTGAGCAAATCAGATTCTAAAAGGAAAGAGAAAACACGTCTGATGTTAAAAATGTTCATATGCCTAGAAATTCTTGGAACTCCAGGGCTGAAGCAAACACTATTGGATTTGAACTCTGTACTTAGTGAAAGGTGCCAACATTATTTGCAAATGGGTCCACTATTTTTTATTTTTATTCATTTTACATACAAATCATCTCCTCCCGTGCTCCTCACCTACCCCCAACCCACCCCCATGCACTCCTCAGGAAGGGTAAGGTCTCCCACTGGAAGTCAACAAAGCCTGGCACATTCAGTTGAGGCAGGCCACTATTTAGCTAGAGCGGGTGCTAATCAGATGCCCAACATGGATGAAGCTTATTTTAGGACGCTAAATTGTCAGCCGTAAATTTTTGTTATTAGGTCTATATATTTATTTTGCCTGCACACACGTATGTGCACCATGTGTTTGCCTCGTACTTGTAAAGTGCAGAAGACTGGGGTCATATCCTCTGCTATGGTTTTGAGCTGACATGTGGGCGCTGGGAATTGAACCAGCGTCCTCCAAGAGAGCAGCCAGCAGAATCTCCCCAGCCCTGAAAACTGCCAGTTTCTAAATGTTAATATTTGCAGGTTGTAACTAGATATTTCTTTACACTAATTATAGCATCGTTCATAGTAATGTTACCATTTAGTGGAAGGCAGCCTGAGGTATAAATGCCAACCTCATCCATTTATTCAATAAACATGCACAGAGCACCTCCTGTTGTGAGTCCTGGGCTAGATGACAGCTTCTATTCTTTCCAGTTCTACTTTTGTTAAGTATGCGTTTGTGTTTTACTCTTCATTACAATCCACTCGTTACGTTCCTGATTCTGTTATAGCATTAAAAAGGAACCTTTTTTTCAGGTTTTCTTTTAGATGTGTGTTTTAAGTTATACTTTTCTCTTGGTTTTTTTTTAGTCTTTTATTTTTGAAACAAGGCTGACCTTGTACTTATTTTGCAGGCCAGGATGGCCTTGCACTCACAGAGGTCTGCCAATCCCTGCCTCCCAAGTGCTGGGATCAGATGTGATCCCACCATGCCTGGCTCCAATTAAACAGTTGACAATCAGCTATTCCAGCAGTTTTGTCTGTGTCCCTAGGACCCTGACAGGCCCTTTGGTTGTTAGGAGCACATGACGCTGTGTACACAAATGCAGTTGTGCCCTGCAAGCATTTCCCGGAAGTTGTTTCATACTTTCTTGTCAAGGCTGGGCTTCTTCATGCTCTTCCTAAGGTTCTCACTAACAACTGAAAAGTAAGTTAAAATGGCAGTAGAGCCTGGTGTTCAGAACTAAGCCTTATTTGTGGCCTTGATTCCATCCCGTGTTAGTACCCACACAATTGGCAGTGTTGACGCTTTAGACTTATACACACAGAACCTGATACTAGTACGGGAGTGAATTTCACAAACTTGAGTACCCTGTGGCCAGTCAGCACATGCGCATGGTCTCCCAGTAGTCAGAATACTCCTGTTAAGGAATTTAACTTATCCTTGAACCTGCAACCACGTGCCTGTGTTTGAATTGCTGCCCTGTGACCTTGGGGGAAAAATCCCTGTTCTAAATGCCAGCAGAAAGGAGAGCATTGTTTCAGCTACACATGAATGAGGGTTGAATGGACCACTGCACACAAAGTGTTTATCACAGCGTTTCGTGTGGTTTTAGAAACCTACGGATCAGAACACCCTGTGACTTGCCACTCTCCCATGTGTTGCCTGTGTAAGGTGGAGCCCTGCTTGATGGGAGAGATATGAGATAAATGTGTAACTTTCATGACACATATGCATAACTTTCATGACACATATGTACATTTCAGCGATGCTGAATTCATTAAAATGTGTACTTTCTTCTAGTTATGACGAGAAAAAAATCAGTGTTTTGTATTTTTAAGGTATTCTTTTTTCTTGGTAGAGCCATCCAAGTTAATATAAGACTGCAGAGACATTAATAGCAGAGTCCCTGTGCTACTATAGTGACTGGATTTTCAGGAAGGTTCCATCATTCACCGGCTGCATGACCTTAAGCTATTTACCTTTCTGTTCCTGTTTCTTCATCTGGAAACAAAATATGTCATGGTGTGACACTTTCCTCAGTATTGTAAAGTCTAAATGCTGAAATGTATGTAAAATTCTTAGAACACATAGTGAGC